ACGTGCAAATCGATTGTGATTTGGTCACGAATCGACGGGGAGGCGCATCATTGTCTTTCGGGCAATTATTGCTCAGGTTTAGTAGTCGGTGTTGACACTGTAACACCGAGAAACAGGTGAGAGAACGGAAGGGAAAAAAAAAGAAAATTACTCACCGTGGTAAACGGAATAAGAAGAAGAGAGGTACTCGATAACATTAAATGTGGAGCAAACTGCTGTAATGACTCCGTTTGACTTTCTCGTTATAATTCGCCTACTTTCACTACAATATGTTCCATTCTGTTCCAATTTGACAATATCTATAAATGCCTCCTATGTTTTTATTTATCTTATATGTACTACCGTTTCCATCTAATGTCATACGTTTCAAGTTATGGGTACTTAACATTGGGAGTTATCAATACATTTGTATATAAATTACCTATTTTACATTGACATTAAATTTATTGAAGGTTCTCTAACGATTTAAAAATACCAATAAACATTAGTGAAAATTCTTAAAATACATTTTTTAATTAATTAGCCCATACGCTTCGAATTCAAATGAATGCTTAATCAAGTCGAGGAATCCCGACTTGTCGTCAGCATTAGTTTTGAAATTGTTATGTGTATTCATCTAGAAAAGATATCAGTTCGCTTATGACTTGCTCTTCAATTTAATTATTATGATAACCTAATCAGCTTTTAATATCATTAAATTTCTCGTTATTTATGTATTACTCGAGTTTCATTCCTAGTCTAGCTGGCATTTAATCGCTAAATGCAATTGAAGTCAATCTCTCATTTAATGTGCTGTAAAAATCATTTATTAATATAGTTCACGTTATGGCTTTATACGTCTCGTTGATTTTCAATTTATTTATCTTTATTATATCAAATTGCCCTTACAATGACATACTACTCTAGACAGTTAAATGCGCTTTTTATAGTGCGCTATCATATTATTTCATCTAAAACACACACGGTATTCTGAACAGTGTTATTCATCTGATTTTACAGACTCGTATGTTCCTGTACAATTAAGTTATTTTTAAATTAGTATTAGATTTATTTTCTCATTTAGAGAATCTTACCGAATTGGATTATTTCTAATTCATAAAACTGTTGTCTCTAAGCTAAAGTTCAAATATAAGTTTTTGTACTATAAAGATAATCGAAATTGAAAAAAAAAAACAATTTTTACTTAGTTTGCTTGGTATGTCTATTTTTTTTAATAGTTAACGACCTTATTTGTATATTCTGTTATTTTTTAAATATTGAACAAATGTACAACAGTACACACCTACAAGAGTTTGCAATTATTAGTTTCGGGTGCACCAACACACACGCAAAAACGATACCGTTAGTACTGATTTGGTATGTTAAAATAATCGGCCACCCTCGTTAAGGATACTTAAATAGTAAATCTTTACGTTCATAAATAATTCAAATAGCTACGACGATTTCAAAAATGTCATCCGACTTAATATACGTTTTAATACCTATAAAATTCATTGTTTACTTTCAGTCGTGTAATGTTGTATAACATTTTATTGTTGTTGAAAACAATTTAATAGTCATTCGATGTATAGACGAAAAAATCTAGTATGCCTTGTAAGCTTAAAAAATTAATAAATTAAAAGTTTTAATCTGAACAACCGTGTGAGACACACCGCAATGACTTATTTAAGGAAGAACCACTTACTGTCTTCATAGAAAAACTTCAGTACTCGTCCCTCAAAATATTTTTACTTGTCCCCTTTTTCTCTTGAAAAGTAAGATAACAAAAAAATTCTGCTAAAAGATTTATAGTTTATGACTTAATATAAGCTTAAATAAATACTTATTGTAGACAATTAATGAAATCGTAATCGTTTTGATGTATTTAGCTTTATTTTCTATTAATCAATTGTATTTGAACATTTTTTTGTGTTTCAATTTTATTTATTAAAGTGTCGAAAGTAATGAACACTTACAATTGATCAAATAACAAAATGCATTGTAGAACAAAAATAAGTTTAATTACTATAATTTACGATTCATTATTGCTGACGCATTATATATTGCGGCATGAAAAAATGTAACCTTAAATAAAAAATTATTTGTATTTTGAAAAACAAAATAATAATAATTTGAATCGAACAAATTTTACATCATAAAAATATTTTTTCTACGCCAAATTGTTATTAACCAAGAAATTTCAATTATCTAATTAAAAACTGTTTTCATTTCCGTATTGTTATATGGAAACGTATTTTATTATTATTAATTATATTATTAATAATATTCCATATTATTGTAAAACTGCTTTATTATGCTGTTTGTTTTTAATGCTTTGTAACATACCGTTTGTTATTAGCAAGCATAAATTAATGATGTCTTCAGGTTCGATTTTTTCATTTGGGTTAGCTGTAAACCGACGAACGGATCATAATTTTTTATGTGCCTATAATCTCACAGTTGATACTTATCGGATTTCTTTGAGCTGTGCAATCCTGTCAATATAGTCTATCCGTTGCGCATTAAGTTACCATGAAAACTCACGTATCTCGTCGAGTTTTGACAAGTCCTGTTTGTGGTATAATATTGTTGATTTTTTTCTCTACTTTTAATCAAATACAGGGAGAATAGATAAAAGGAATTCTGGAGTAACTGTTATTCACACCAGCAGATCATCCTGACAAATTAAATATAACGGTCTGTCGCTTTTATGTGTGTTAAGATCACACCGGTTAGAACAATTGAAAACCGCACAAGAAAAACCAACAACAATACCTCATGGGCAATAATAGTTATAAAACGTGTTTAAACACCAGTAGCTGTCCGAATTGCCACACACGCACACACACAAGAGATAGATCCCATTGTTTTTTACATATATCGTCACGTATTTTTATTTATTATATTTTTCAATCGCGATGCTCGTGTGTAGAGTAATAATCTATTACATCGAGAAACGGGCGATATGCGTTTCTGGAAGGACGTTATTTGAAAGCAGGTAGCTGAAGGAGAAAGAGTATCGTGTATTTTTAATAATGAAATTTTTCAGCAATGGCTAAATTAAACCAAGTAGAAGTACCGTTGGTATTGAACTTTGAAAATTATATTTTTAACTCTCGACGTCGATACTCGAGCGAGATTAAAAAAAAAATCACAATTTAAAATAACGATTGTCCTTGTATGAAATAAATCGTTAAACTCTGAAGAATATATTTTCAGTCCTGACTTAAATCACGTTCAATAAAAATATTTTAGTTATAAATCCATCTCGAGTTTTGTTTAAACATCAGTAAATTCTAGGAAAATATGGAAAAATTAATTAAAAATAAGTTGAATATCGAGGATAACAATTCGCTGTGATGTTTAAATGTTAAATTTTATTGTTTTTTTATCGTTAATAAATGTTTTTCTCATTATTCGTTGTGCTTTATTGAACTAGACAAACATAGTCAACATGAATGTGGGATAGGAGGCTTTGTTCTGTGCGTATACAATTTGTAATGAAGAAAACTGTTTGGTATTAATTACACAGTTAAATAAATATACGTATTATATGCGTACGCTTATCAACAGAAACAATTGAACCTTTTAACACTGTCATTTCATAATTTATATATGACGTTAATTGAAAAGATATTTCTTTTGTTTAACTATAAAATATTATATAATAAATAACTTACTATGAATTTGATCAAGTTTTAATTTTTTCTCAAACAATATTTGATTAAAAAATAATTTATGAAAATGTTAGGTAGACTACAAATAATATGAAATGAATTTTTTTTCTTTAATATGTTCTATGTATGAAGAATAACACTTTTACGACTCAATTAGTTCTCTTTTGTGTAAAAATAAGACCAATATTGGTATTTTATATTTATTAACGGTAGGACTATTTTATAAAGGCCGAGTCTCTTCTTCCTTTCTCTTTCTTAATTTGAAACTATGTCCCCTAAAATATAATACTCATTTATTTATTTTTTTTTTATATAAATTTTTAAAACATAATATATTGTAGTCTATACAAGAAGGTTACATTTTACATAATATGTTGGCCATAAAATATTGTCATTTAAAAATAAAAGTATGTTCAACGCTGCGGACTGATGCACTCGAGTAGTTTTAGGTGGAACTTTGTGGCATCAGTTGATTATTATATTGAATATATGTACACAGTTAAATGAAATGTTAATTATTGTAATTATCGGTCGTCAGTGGCAAAACTATATAGGCTAATTAATCGGAAGTTGTTAGATTGCCTTTTTGTCGCGTAATTTATCTTACTCAATTAGTAATTAGATTCATAAATACATATTGCGCACCACTTTATGATGTTACTCATTTTGGTCTTCTGGACAAATAAAGCCGGAGAATATGTATAATATTTGTTATCGCTCATTACAATTTTTTTTAACTATTTCAAACCAACTGTTTTCACTATGTATCTAGTTTTCTCATTTATCCTTCTATTTTATTGTTACAGTGAGAGTTCCTTTACCTCCGGGAAGACCGTGGATACCTTTGTCTAGACCGAACAAAAATATACCATCGTGTGAGTCAGATATATTATAATAATGATGAAATATATGTAGCTTTTATTTTTTCACTAGATTTAATGCAAACTGCGTATGACGTGCTGACTTAATTAATGGTCATCAACGTTATTCTTATTTACAGGTCCGGTAACGGTGATGTGTTATAACGTGTTGTGCGAAAAGTATGCAACCACTCAAATGTATGGATACTGTCCGTCTTGGGCATTAACCTGGGAGTATAGGAAGAAAGTAATCTTAGGCGAAATAAGACATTATACTGCAGACATTATTACACTTCAGGTAAGATAAACTTTATTACTTCTTTTGGTAACGAAAATTAAAAATTATAATTGCTGTGTCTTTAGGAAGTCGAAACGGATCAATTTTATAACTTCTTTTTACCCGAATTGAAGAAAGACGGTTATGATGGTATATTCTCGCCCAAGTCTAGAGCAAAGACCATGTCAGAGAATGACAAGAAACGAGTCGATGGATGCGCAATATTTTTCCGAGCAATAAAGTCAGTACATATAAATCCATTCATTTAGCATTATTAAACCTCTTGTATATTGACAACACATTAAATGCTTTTTTATTTTCAAACACGTTAAAAAATAGTTTTTATCGAAAGAGAAACACAGCCAATTGGTTGCATTTTTATTGAGTTTGAAACGTTGTGATATGTTATTACAAAACAATATACTTGCCAAAAAATATTTTTTCCCGCGTGTGTCTAAATATTTTCTGGTTTATCATTTTTTGAAAGATGTCGAAGAAGAAATATAATTGGAATCTTACCAATAAACATTGAGCAACGTATGCGAAAAGTTTATCTTGTCAAAATCATTGTGTATTTATAGATTTGATCAATAAATATTCAGAACACTGGGCAATCAATCGATTTTAACAAAATTTAAATTTATAGTCTATATTTCAATAATATCTACCAAAATAAATAAAATTTAATTAGCGATGGTTTTAGTAACTTATATGTATAGTTAAATCATCTTTCAACTTGACCATTTACATGATGAAATAATAATAACTTGAACCAATTCTTGTGTATAATGTATTAAATATCAATCGTTTTTCATCAAATTTATTTGATCTTGTATTAATTAATTCAACTTTATCAAAAACTCTAATTGTTTTATAATTTAATAAAAATAATGGGTTTTTTCTGTCGTGGTTACGCGTAGATTCACACTGATCAAAGAACACCTTATCGAATTCAATCAGCTAGCTATGGCAAATTCCAGTGGGTCTGATGATATGTTAAATCGAGTGATGCCAAGAGATAATATTGGTTTAGCTGCTTTATTAAAAACCAACGAAACTGCATGGGAAAATTGTAAGTATGCCATTTAAGGACTTACTGTTAAAATTGTTATGGTTGTATTTAATCTTCTATTAATTTTTTTGGCTGTACTAATTAAATCTAAACGTTGATCTTGATATCTAAACTAGGAGTGTTGGTAAAATTATTTACCAAGGTATGAAATTAATAGTATTTTAAACTAGTGTCAGACTAATTACGGCGGTAGTTAAAAACAATAAAATTACTTAGCCGTATAATACACTATTTGAAAAGACATTGTAAGTGAAAGCCATCATTAAACACCTCGGGTCATCGTTAACAAGTGAATAAGGCAATAGATCTGTGTATCCTACCTCGTACGTTACACATGGCCTACTGTATTTAGGATTTCAATTCCATCGAGCAGTATTTCGAATTTTTGTTAACTTTTTAATTAGATAATAATTTGTTTCACAAATAATTTTTACTCTACAGGATTCATAACTTATGAGTCACGACCTTGAGAATAAATAATTTTTAGGAATTCAGTTTTCTTAATTTATCAACTTCTCGAAATTTACTAATTAACAAAGACAATAATTTCGTCTAAAATGTATTATTAAAAAAAAAACATTATGCTTTTTAATATATTGCGTTATGTATTTTTAGTAACTGTTATGTTTCACTTTTACTGTAAATTAGTTCTATTTTAAGTTTAAATTTCAAATTAAAATAAATAATTTATAATACGATTATTGTGATCATACGATTAAACTAATCTTATATTCAAAATATTAATGGCAAATCAAGCAAACCATTTTTTATGACATTAAATTATATACAGAGTAATTCATTTATAGTGAATCTTTTAAATAATCTAAGGGATGAACATAAAAAATAATTTATAATTGATAAATTGAGAAAAACTAGTACTTAAAAGAAACCAAAAAAAGTTTTCAATATTATTTTTATTTGTCAATTAATTAAGCGGTTCATAAAATGAATCACCTGTATAACTGTGAATTAGTATACTTAACCATGAAACATAAACACAATAAGTAGTGATAATTATCTTACAATCTTGTTATCAAATAAATGTTCTCAGTATTTAATTAGAAAAGGTAGATTGTAAATAATAAGAGTTATAAATGTTTAAAAAGGTTTAATCTATTAAAAATGAATTATAAAATAAGAAAATATTTATCTAAAAAAGATTTAAAAAGGAAATCAATGATTTAGGACTTCAATGATGAGTGTTTTATGCAACAATATAAAACAAAATGCAGTTGATTTCCTATTTCTCATTTTGCACACCTATTTGTTGCAATAAAAAAACAAATTTTTCTTTGTTCTTAAAGTGTAAAAAACACTAAAACTCTGCCATGTTTATGACAAATCTAAATTTTTTTTTTGCAACAATTTAAATCTGCGACATACAGGTAATACGTTTATCATAACCCATTATCCCAAACCCACACGGTGCTAAGAGCCTTTAGTCTTCCTAAACATATTGTAAAATTGCATTTATAGTTATATAAAAATATTTTAAAAGTTCCATTTTAAGTTAATTTATAAAATTACATGAAGTTGTAGTTACTTTTAATTAATAAGTGGATCTCAAGTATTACAAATAATAATTTTTATCTCTTTATGTGGCTACACTGTTATTGTTATCATGCATAATATTCAAAATGTTATCGTGTCTTTTTAATTTCTATCTCTATTATTATACGAATTTTTTGTTGGTACGTTGTGTTATGTTGCCCAATGTTAAGTTTTTTTTATATTATACATTATTTTTCTTATAAATAAATAATTATGAATCAAAATCAGTTTTATCAGGATAATACTTCTTTTTTTGTTCCTGATGAGAAACTAGACTTTCATTCTAGCCCGTATTCGAATTATAATCAGAACTTTGACGATTATTCGCAACCAGCTCAATTCAATACGACATCATCATGGAATCAACAGTCTACTACTAATTTTACTGGCGAAGATGACGAGCCACCGCTTCTTGAAGAACTTGGGATAGATGTCAATAAAATATTTACGCGGTTATTACATTCACTTGATCCTACTGGCAGATGTGGTGTAGTTTTGGGCGACTATGATGTAATTGGTCCTATTGCTTTATATTTAACATACACTTCATTATTACTATTAGCCGGTGGAAAATTAATGTTTAGTTATGTTTATGGTCTCGCAGTGTTAACTTCAGTTTGTATGTATGCATTACTTTGGGCAATGACTGATTCACCTGAAGTAACATTAACTTCCACTTTCTCTGTATTGGGATATTCATTCACACCAGTAGTTCTAGTTGCGCTACTTGCTGTTTTCACAAACCTCAAAAATATTTTTGGTGCCCTTGTGGTTCTTTTAGCTGTTTTATGGAGTAGTACAAATGCTGCCAAAGTCTTTGTAGCTATGTTTGGTAATGCTGATCAAAAGTATTTGATGGCTTACCCTTGTGCGATTATATGTGGTCTTTACACTTTATTTATACTATACTAAATAATTTATAAAATATATAAATGTTAATTAAGCAATGTATTTATAAAAATAAAATTAAATGTTGACACTTTTGTATAATGCTTTAATCATTATTATTCCTTTTCTTTAAAACTTTGTGCTTTGTACTGTGATGTTATATTAGCACAATGTCTTTTTACTAACAAATTTATTTTATATTTTAATATCATCTTAAATAACAGATGTTTGTAAAATAAATATTATTTTAATTTGTATATTATATTATAATTTGAATTAGAATGCCTAATAAAATAATTTATTAAAGAAATTAAAAAGTTTCAAATAAAAATATTGTATTTAATTAAAAAATAAATATGAGTAATATTGCTAAATCATTCTGTTCAGTAACACATAAATTCATTTTAATATATTAAAAGTGCAATACATAAGTATATTTGGCTGATTGAGGTGTCAACATGTAAGCAGTGTTATAAAAGTTACTGTTATGTCTCTTATAACTCATGAATTATGAATTAAATAAGGTTTTAAAAATTAATTAAAATGTGTATTTAATTTGTATAATAGATTATTAATAGCTATGAGATTAAATCAGTTTATTTGGTAATTTTATATAAGTAATCATTTGAATTGTCCCATACAGCATAATAAAAAACTCATATCACCCAAGTATTAAGAATTAATTATGCTGCACTAAGCTATAGATTTTTTTTATAATCTTTATATCAAAGAATAGCTAAAAAGTATATCTGTCAAATTACAATTGTGAATAGAATTTATTTTTCATAAATAATAAATTATTATGATCTGAGTATTGTTATTTACTTGCCTGGAGGTGTGTCAAAAAATCCCCTTTTATATAAGTATTGACTTTCATCAAATAATTGTCAGTTTTATTTTTACTTTTTAATCGATTTTTAACTCATTAAAAAACATGTAGGATTCAATAAATGTGTTATTTATATTAATCCTTAATGAATGTTATCATTCGTCAGCATAGTTTATATGCAATACACATTTTGGTAATTTTTCTGCTGACTGAAAGTATTTTGTCGCTAATACCGAAATTACTCAATTTTTTTGCAATCTTGTTGTCATAATCATACTGTATTTTTTATTAAATAATTTACTCATTATGTTTTAAAACAAAACCTTAGATGATAATAAAATCTATAATAGAATAGAATATCATTTTATATTTATCTGAAACTTTGTTATTTTAATTGATTTGAGTTAGTTATTTTAACATATTCCTATTAATAAGGTTGTTACTATCATAAGATAATTTCAAATTAAAATATATATATGGATTTTACATGGTGTGGTATTGGTATTATTTATTTAGAATGTGTTTTTAAATATTTAATGGATACTCTTGAGTTAATTATTATAAAATCAGTATTTGAAGTATACTCAACAAAAAATACAATATTAAAATGAGGAGAATATTTACAAACTATTAAAAATACATGTTATTTATTTATATCATGATAAAAAACTTAAATTGAACATAATTTAATTCTGATTTATTTTTCAAATTTAACTACATTATTAGAATTTTATTTATTTTTCTAAACAGTCATTATTTCAACTGTACCAATTAATTGCGCCGTATATTTAACAAAATTATATTTGTAATATTACAGCAAAACTAATTTATGATAATTATTTATAAAGAAAATTGATGAATGGTTATTGTTAATGAATATCATAACTTATGTAAACATTTTCATATAGTTAATTTTTAATTATTAATAGTAATAATATGAAGCGTAATAGGATTGATAAGAATATATATAAAATTTTACCAAATATTATTAGGATACCCCTGTAATATTTAGTATCAAATAGTTGATTAAGTGTTAAATTATATTAGTCTTATATATATATTATTAGATTAAAAATTAACAATTTTATTTTATTTTTTTGACAGCATTACCATCAGAAGTTCAACAACCAATACTAGTATGCACAGCTCACATTCATTGGGATCCAGAATTTTGTGATGTTAAGCTTATTCAGATAATGATGTTAGCTAGTGAATTAAATAATATTTTAGAAGACGCTAATCGTAATTATCGTAATGCTAATCAACAGCAACCGCCTATTCAATTGTTGTTATGTGGTGACTTTAATTCTTTACCTGATTCTGGTAAATTAAGTTTTTATAAGACAATACAAGTGAAAAAATTAATTTTTTTATTTTTATTTAGGAGTAATAGAGTTTTTATCAGCTGGTAAAGTTTCATCTGATCATCAAGACTTTAAAGATCTGCAATATAAGACACTTTTACAAAAAATTTCTACTTGTGATAGACCAAATGAATTCACTCATTCTTTCAAGTTATCTTCTGCTTATGAAAATATTATGCCATTTACTAATTACACGTAAAATATTTAATAAAAAATATTATGTTGATAATATAAATAACAATTTTTTTTTCCAGATTTAATTTCAAGGGAATCATCGATTATATTTTTTATACTAGACATACTATGACACCACTTGGTTTACTTGGACCTTTAGCTCCTGAATGGTTTAAAGAAAATAAAGTACTGGGCTGTCCTCACCCACATATACCATCAGGTAAAATTAAACTAGTTATAAGCTTAAGAATAGTATATTCTCAAATAATATTAAATGGTATATTTTCCAGATCATTTTCCGTTGCTAGTAGAATTTGAATTATCACCAAATGCTCATCAAAATAACTCGAATGGATTAATAAGTCGAAGGTAGCCTTATTAGTTTAAGAACAACAATCAACAAAATTATTTTTATAACGAACACACAAACAGTGTCCGTAAACATAATGTATTTTACATTTGAAATTATTATTACTGTCATTCTCTTTCTCAGTTAATTATTGGCCTAAATAATATCATTGCTAAAAAAAAATATAACCATGACTTTTTCTTCTATTTTATTAGTTTATTTTTTTATTAAAACTAAAAAAATAAATAAGAAGAAGATTTATAGATAAAAAATTATACATTTATGTGAATTTTTAATTTTAATATTATGTAATTTTTTGTCCTAACTTATTTTATGTACATAAAATAAATTTTGTCTTTATTTTAATTATTTTCTATTGTACTATATCACAAACAAATAAAAAATTTTTTTACTTATTTTTTACTAAATGATTAATTATTAATCTATATAATTATTAAATCTAAATAATAATTTTTTAAACATTTATGATCATACCAAATTAGCTTACTACTTTATAACATAAGAAAGTTTATAGCAGTTTATAATATTAAATATTATTAATTATTTATTAAATTAATAAAATTAAATTTATTCTAACTAAAAATATCTCTAACAAACATTGAAGATTGTGACATAAATTTTCTTGTTAAGAACTTCTTTACAATAATGATAGACAAATCATCAATCATATAATATACTGTATTAATATGTATGTCTAGCAAAAATATACCTTAAGTTTACAAAAATAACTGTTGTCAATCCTGACTGCCAGTATTATTTAATTTTACTATATTATTATATATTTTTTTTTTTTTTAAAGAAAAATATCTTTTGTGGTTAGTTTTATTATAACAGTAAACTTAAAATTAAGTATTTTTACTATAAAATGATTAATTTAAAAGTTAAATTACAAATTATTATAATTATGTATATTAATATTAAATTTAAAATTACTTGAAATAATTTTCTCAAATATTTTGATTGAACAGTTATTGAACTTTATAGTTGTCAGTAATTTAATAAAAACACACATTTAAAAATATTCTATGTATAAACAATTATTTGATTTAGATAGACCAATCTTTAGTACTTGGACTGAAATTTGTACCTGTATTAAATTTTTTTAGTTAATTTGAAATGTTATGTACGGTATTGTAATGAATGCGTAAAATAAGAATAATTTAAAAGTAAAAAGTAATTTTTAAGTCTTTGATTATTATTCTGATTTCATTAAATATGATTGTTGTTTTTCCGTCCTAAAAAAATTCCAATCTCTAACTAGCTTTGATTAATTTAAAATTTATTATCTAGTTTTGTTTCTTTTAGGCATCTTATACACATTTTCTATTTAAATTCGTATATCATGTGACAAAAATTTTATTCAATAATTTTCATTTTCATAAAATCACTGTTGGGGTTATATTGATTGATTTCCATACAAAAAATTAAATATTAGTTTTATAAAAACTGGAACTAATTAATGTATCATACTAAGATACTTTTTGATGAAATCTTGAACAAATATATATATATTTTTTAGGAACTTTATAGAATTATTAAAATTAAAACTAAATATTTATGTACAATGCTTGAAGAATAATATAATTTTTAGAATATAATATTAGAATGCTTCAATTTTTTTAAGCATTTACATTAATTCTCATCCTTTAAATTATTCATATTCAATTTTATATTTACTTAGGTTATATAATTAGGTAGTGTCAATAATTAAATTTGTAATACTTAGGTTTGTCTATAAATGTTATCAAGCCTATTTTATGTATGCGTACACAATTATTTTTATGTCAAGTGTAAATTATTGAAAAATTAAAGAATTCAATAGATATTTCATGAAAGTTATTGTTATGAAATATGTAATTGTATAAATCACTACTGGATAAATGTTAATTTAAAATGTTTATCTATATAGTTATTAAGTAAATAAATAATTTACGAATTTCTTAATTTTTTTACAACATATTGTAAAAAATACTTTTTTTATAATTATGAAAATAACTATTCTAACTAAAAAAATTTGTTAATATTACATCTTATTACTTAATACTTTTTTTCACCTTGAATAACTAATTAGAAAAGATTTTAATTTTGAATTTACTTATAATTAGAGGCATTTAACATTTTTCCTTTAATTCATAAACTAGCAGCAGTATTTATTTTATTTTCTGTCATTCCATAACTTGCTTTTGGTTAGTGAAAATTTATGTTAAGTTATATATTAATAACATTTAGTTATTAATAACAATAAAGTGTCGATTTGTCAATAATGTGATACCTTAGAATTACTTTAAATATTGTGTATTACTTAAAATGTGTGTGCTAATTTTATGTTTGTGATTTAAATGTGGCTGTATAATATGTTCATCTTAATATTTAACTATTATAATTTCATTTATGATTTATTCCTATTATTAATTATTAGTTTATATATTTACCATATAATAATATTAATTATTGCAATAATTTTAATGCCTTTGAACTTTTTGTGTTAAGAAGTAAGACTGCAATTAATTAAGAATTACTGTATTGAATATACATTGTTATTTGTATTTGTATATTGTGAAATATTCAGTTTATCATTTACTCTTACGGATGTATAGTTATTTTTGTACAATTTAAATTTAATTTTAAAAGCTATACTATTATGATGGACATAGGATATCAGTCACTTATAAATTTTTTCTATAAAATAATCTATTTCGCGCAAATTGTTAATTTTATACAACATAGTTTTAATGATTTCATTTATAGTGAATAAGTAAATTAAGATAAAAACCCATTTATAATTAATGCTTGAGCAATGAACAACTTCTGAATATACATTAAATAATTATTTATTAATTTAGTAGTACATTTTTAAGTACTATTTTATTTATATTCCTAGGGAAATGTTAATATTAAATAATCGAATTAAATGTACTATGAATTTGTTTTATGATTATATTAAAACATTAATTGTAGTCTTTAAAAAATAAAGTCTATTTCCATTATTTTGGCCATTTTATTATACCGTTTTATCTTTATATTTTGTTATGTGTATAATTATTAAAAATAATTACATTTTATGATAAAATAAAAGGTAGCTGTATTTTAACATAATCAATGGTGTTATAAGTAAAATTTTATTAAAAGAAAATCTTCATAAGCTTCTCCAAACCAAAATAATTATTTTTGTTGTGATAGGAAATGACACCAATATTCCCAAGTATACATGCCAGTAGACACAATTCTGCACCAAACCGTTTAATTATACACTTATCTATCGAATTCAAATTGTAAAAATATATTTAAACTTTAAATCTCACTGTCCTTGATGGTTTGATATTTCATGTAAATTGTTTTGTATGTTAAATTAGTTTGAGCATTTTCAATGGGTCCAATTTAACTTTCTTCTAGGTTGTATCATTAGTTTCAGAATGATAAACTGTATCCAGCAATGTTTTAAGTTTAGTAAACAAATTATTAGTAAAGTTTAATTGATTACAGAATAGCCATATTAGCGAAATTAAAGGGATGCTGTAAAGAAAAAGTTAGGAGTTGAAATTCAATGGCAAAAGTAATTACATGTTTAATATTCAATATTGAAAAATTGATAAAAATTATTCGAATTTAGCACTTAATATGCTTTAGATTTTTAACTTCAGTGACACTTTACCAATGTTAATTCCATAGGTGGAAATTGATGGAGGCTTGGGGTTTGGTTTGGTAAAAACTATAAAATTTATATATATTGTACAAAAACATATTTTATAGTGGAGAAAAATATAAAAAAAATATCATTTGACCTCCCAATTTTAATTTATTTCCTCTTATGGTTGATATTAAACCACAGTAATATTAAAAAACCCAGCACAGGGGGGTCGCGGCACAGTGGTGACGTGGTATAGATGGATCAAGTATAATGATATCTGACAGTGATTAAAATCACTATAAAAAAAAAACGCTTCGATGCAAATCTTTAGATAGTGTTTAATTTTAAAAAATTGGTGGACTATTCCAAAAGCTACATGATCTGCTAGTTCATTATTAATATCCTAATTAAGATAAAGTATGTAGAATGAAAAAGGGATTATTAAAAAATATTATTTCTCATAAAAAAATAATGTTGATCCATACACTTTTCAATATGTCATAGCATTATAAAGTTAAAAATTTTAAAAATAAAATCGAGAATTTTCACACAATAATATGATTTGGTAGCCATTTTCACCGTGATGATAAAATAAAGTCCGAAATTTTTTTTTACCATTATAAAGTATATTACATTAGCTTTAATTTAAGATATATATAAAAGTGTCAGACCTTCCGGAACACTTTCAAAAGTTACGTTGAAAAAGTTCTACTTTCTATATGCATTTTTATGTTTTGAATCCCCCCTGTATTTAGGGAAATGGTCCGATTTAAAAAAACAGTATGTCGAATGAAAGATCTATATAAATACTACTTCTCATAAAAAAATTGTAATGATTCATACATTTTTCAAAAAGTTATAGCATAATAAAGTTAAAAATGGAAAATACAAAATCGAAAATTTTCACACAAAAATAGCATTCGGTAGCCATTTTCACCATGAAGATAAGATAAAGTCCGAAATTTTTTTTTTCCATAATAAAGTATATTACATTAGCTTTAATTTAAGATATATATAAAAGTGTCAGACCTTCCGGAACATTTTCAAAAGTTAAGTTGAAAAAGTTAATTTTTTTTGAAAAAGTTGTCATTTTAAATCACCCCTTGTTGGCAGGTTAAGAATTAAATTTATGAAAAAAATATACCAAACGAAAGGTAATAATATTACACATCTATATAAAAAAGAATTATATTGATATATTCATTTTTGAAAAAGTTATGGCACTTTTAAGTAAAAAAAATTGAAAAAATTTCGAAAATTAGCGATTTTTAAATTTGTAATTTTTTTGGAGGTTTCCCCCATTTACGGGGAACGAGGGAATTTTTTTCAATTTTTGAGGGTAATGTCTTCGACTAGATACAATTTTTGATCTTTTGACGTATCATTGAAAGAAATTGGTTCGGTGAGAGCTGAGATAAAGTGGTAACAGACACAAAAAAAAAAAAACACATCTTAGTAAAACCAATACCTTCTCAGCTTCGCATCGAAGCTAAAATGTATTAAGATGGGTTTTTATTTTTTGTTACAATCTCAACAAACAGATTAATTGAGTAACGTGAAGACTTTATGAGTTAAAATTTAGTGATATAAAGTTTTAGAGGCAAGTTAACATTATCAGGAACCCACGAGAATCATCAATAGGGTTATTTACTGTTCAGATTATTTGATCAAATAATGTTGACGACGTCATGGAAATCTCCAGCGAGACGCCAGACTAGGTTTTAATATTTGTCATACTTATTCGCACTAAAATATTAATTGTGTAAACTAGTTGTTCAATACTTTATAAATTTCTGGCACAAATTGTTACTCTTGTAAATGTTTAATGAAATGGTATAATACAATGGCCAAGTCTCTTTGGTCACTGTACAAACCTACCACTCTAAATACAGAGTCGTTTAGATCATAATAATGAAACACATTTTACAATAATGGTGAATAGTACATTTAAAACATCAAAGCTGTTATATTTTTAATATATCTAATAAAAATGTGAGTAACATGTGTAGTATGTAATATCGGAAAAACTTGATAAAATAATGAGGTTTTACGAGAAAAAAACAACTTTTGAACGAGAAGAGGCTTAGAGCCTCTTAAATTGCATCTAAATGTGAAAAGTTGGCTCATTTATTACATCCTAAATTAAAATTTTATTTAATAGTAAT